GTGAGGGCTCTTTTGGTTGGTAGGATGGAATTACAAACACATGATTGATTATTGATTATTGCACTATTCATCACTATTTAGTAGGAAAAAAATCACATTTGGTATGAGGGATTATTAATACTGAATAACTTAAGTTGATGTTTGGTTATAATGATTATGATTGATTATTCTTAAATTTACGAAACAACCCTTGGTCAAATTAATTTCATTGACTCACAAAAACGTTTAAACAAAAGCAATCCCAATTTATCATGCACCCCTTATCAATAATTATTGTAATTTGTAATTACAAAATGTATTATTCTAGGCTTTGGGATAAAAATCTATTTTTTTTTTATTTCTATAGTTTTTGAAAATATTTTTTTACGACTAAAAAATAAAAATCTGAGTTTAGCAGCTATGTAATGTAAAAAAATAAAAATATGACCTAATGTAAAAAATAGTTTTTTTAATATATGTTTTTTGAAAATTGTAATTTGGTGGATGTGATGAGGCTTTATTAGGGGGGCTTTTTCGTCTTTTTATGAACATTGTCTACATTGGATAATTTAATCACACCTATTGGGGTAGGATAAATTATCACTCATTTGGGTGATTGGATACCGGGCCTTGTGTCAATACCGGGTTTATATCATTCACACCAAATACCGGATTAGAGGTGACTTATCTGTCAATCACCCCTTATCCCACCAACCAAAAGAGCCCTGAATCAACAGTTTAATCTCAATACTACATATCCCATCCATACCTATCTATCCAACCCACCCAACCAAAAGGGCCCTATTAGTCTTAATCATTGTATTAATATTAGAATTCGTATTAATATTAGTATTACTAGTGTTGGTTTTGGTATTAATATTAGTATTGGTATTAGTATTATCAATGTTGGTTTTAGTATTAGTAGCAGTACTAGTTGTTGTTAGTGTAATATTAGTGTTAATATTAGGGTGGCATAGGAAATTGTATGCCGCAATGTCCAGAGTTAAAAGTAGATTTAAGATAAAGATATTTATCAACTCAAAATCGCGCGATATAACTAAAATTACGAGCAATGATGTGTGCACAAAAGATTTTCAGCGAATATGAAGGTAAATCACAAACAAATGTATATTTTGATTCAATAAAACATTTTTTTTGGTATTATTTACATGTAAATAAAGTTTTCGTTCGTTTTATTTTATCCAAAAAAAAATGTTCCCGTGCATCGCAAGGGTGAATTACTAGGTATTGTGATTGTGGTATTGGGCTACATTTCATTACTAGGTATTGGGCTACATTTCAACGTGGATGGTTTTTAGAACGTTGTCAGTTTATTATATATGTAGATTTTTTATTGATTGATTAAGATACGAATTTTTATTTTTTTGTTCGGTTGTATTCTTAGTATTATCAACATAATTTTTCTTCGTTGATTTTATACATTGACTCATTTTAATGTTTTTAATTAATCTCCGTGCATCGCACGGGTGAGTTACTAGTATAATATAAAAAGAGGATCTATGCCCTCAATGATTGACATGTGGCAAATGATGATGTCATTTATCAAAGTTGCTTAGTTGGAGTTGAATTGATGACGTGGATTCTTCAATTGGTGAATTGTCAATTTTATTTTGGTATGTATTTAAGTTATTTCCTATTTAACATTTATACACTCATTTAAACAATTACCACATGTATATATATTATTTTCAAAGTTAACTAGTAATTCACCCGTGCGATGCACGGGATCAACTTCTAAAAAAAAAAAAATTGGATAAAATAAAACGAACGAAAAATTTGAACAGTTGATATACATGTAAATATTACCAAAAAAAAGGGTGTTATTGAATCAAAATATACATTTGTTTGTGATTTACCTTCATGTTCGCTAAAAATCTTTTGTGCACACAACATTGCTCGTAATTTTAGTCATATCGCCCGATTCTGAGTTGATAAATATCTTTATCTCAAATCTACTTTTAACTCTAAACCTTGCGGTGTACAATTGCCTATGCCACCCTAATAGTAACACTAATATTACACTTACAACAACTACTACTGCTACTAATACTAAAACCAACATTGATAATACTAATACAATACTAAGATTAATACTAAAACCAACAATAATAATATTAATATTAAAATTAATCATAATATTAATACGATGATTAATACTAATAGTCTAATACTAATATTAATATCAACACTAATATTAATAATAATACGCCAATTCGAATACGAATATTTAAGTTTAAAACTAAGATGCCAATATTAATACCAACAATATTACTAATACTAATACTAATACTAATACTAATACTAATACTAATACTAATACTAATACTAATACTAATACTAATACTAATATTAATACTAATACTAAGATTAATGCTAATGCTAATGTTAATGCTAATACCCTAAAACTAATCTGAATGGAAAATAATCCTAATAATGATAATAACTTATGATAATAATACTGAAATTGATGTCGATACCAGATAATGATACTACTACCGAT